CCCCAAAACCCCAAAACCCCAAAACCCCAAAACCCCTAGCTATTGTTTTAGAATTGAGTAATCTATCAATGAATTTTAAACCAGGAACTCAAAATGAGCATGCTGAACGAAGTTGCGGTGACGGTGCAGAGCATACCGCTATAGAAGAGGAAGAGTATTATGTCAAGGCAGGATACATCGCGGTTCTCATATTACTGTTAGTCTATACCATGATGGGCTCCCTTATCGAGTCGACAAAGATGAGATATATCCATGAGACAGGAATTGCTATCATTTTTGGAATGATCATATCCCTTTTTGCAAGATTCTTTGGATATACTCAAATTAATCAGATATTGGAATTCAGTGAGAGTCTGTTCTTCTTTGTGTGCTTGCCACCAATCGTATTCGCAGCCGGATACAATATGAAGAGAAAGAAATTCTTTAGACACTTTAATTACATTTCTTTATTTGAAATTTTGGGTACATTCTGTTGATTAACAATCTTTTCGTTCCTCACAGGGTTGCTATTCTATTACCAGTCAATGCAGAAATATAATTCTGAATTAGTGAAAAATATCCCATTCACTTTGACTTTGAGGGAGATTTTGCTATTATGATCTTTGATGTATTCGTCAGATGTGGTCGCTGCTGTATCTTTAATAGATTTTCACAAAGAGCCAAAATTATTCTCTATGGTATTTGGTGAGGGAATCACAAACGATGCAGTATCAATTATCCTCTTCAAAACAGTCTTTAAATACACCAGCTCAAGTGAGGAATTCACTACAAAGACAGTGTTCAAGGTCTTTGTAGAGTTTTCAAAACTTGCTTTATCATCAATAGGTTGTGGGCTAATTGCTTCATTCTTTTGTGCTTTATGTCTAAAGCATATGAGATTTTTGACTTCTTCTCCAATCCATGAAACACTCTTTGTGTTTTGCTTCGGATATCTTGGATATATGTTTAGTGAGTTATTCGAATTTTCAGGAATCATCACTCTACTAACCACTGGAGTCTGTATGACTCATTATGCCTGGTATAATCTGTCTCACCAATCAAAGCAGACTACAAGTCTAGCTTTTGGGGCAATAGGGTTTGGAGCGGAAGCTTTTGTGTTTGCCTATTTAGGCTTGACATTCTTTTCATATACTAAAACTTCATTCTTGGTTCAACCGTTGAATTGTATAATTGTCGGAAGATTCTTAGGTATCGTTGGACTACTATACTTCATAAGTTTTATTCTCAACCATACTCGCGAACTCTCCTTCAAGTAAAAAATATTTTTGTACTGTGGAGGTATGATAAGAGGAGCAATTGTATTTGGTTTAGTCCTGAGACTAGACCATTCTCTTCCAAATAGAGAGGTAATTATCACAACTTCTTTATGCATTGTCATTCTAACAACTCTTTTGTTTGGATCTTTGATGCCAATCTTAAGTAAATTTTTATTGAACAGTGACGATAATTCCCATAGCCCCAAGAAGAAGGAGGAGGAACAAGAAATGGCTGATCTCAGTGGTTCTAAGAAAGCTTTGCTCTCTGAGGAATCAGAGAGCTTCCATGGAATGGTCTATCATCCAAACTGCGACAGTGTAGTAATTTCAGAATCTCATGAGCAGAAAAAAAGGTGAATGCTTGAGTTAAGTACTTCAAGAGATTCGATGAGCATATTTTGAAACCAATATTGATTTACACTTAACCGCTCATTTATTCCTAATTGCTAGGCTTCGCCAAAAATTTTATTGTAAAAGTGCACGAATGAGAGGAAAGATAAGCAGCTTAAGCTCTTCAACATGATGATTATTGGCTTAGGATTTAACTTAGGTTTCCAATAAGCTACATACAACTTGAAAATTCTATAAAATTTCTCATACAAATATATAATACCCAATAACTAAGGAGAAAAGATGGAACAAAAATCCGCGGTTGATGATCAAGACGAAGCAAAAGAGCATGAGAAAAACATTATGAGCTAATTTTATCCCCACCAAAGCACCTTCAATCTCATCTTAAAAATCTCGAACCTAATCCCTCACCTTCCACCAATTCCCCCTCCAAAAATTCTCAACCAAAAATCTCACCTCAAAGTCTCAGACCAAAACTATAGGTTTCTTTTTGCCCTAAAAACCCCCTAAAACCTAAGCCCAAAATTACTATTCCAGCCAGCCCTACATTTTTACTCTCTACCTCTACTATCCAGATACTTTCCAAACACCTTTACAAAAAAATTTCAATTTTTTTGTGAAAAATTGGGGTTTTGGGGTTTTGGGGTTTTGGGGTTTTGGGG